TGGGGGTGGGGGGTCGGGGTGGTGGGGGGGGGGGGGGGCAAAACTCGACGTGTATATTTGCATTAAGCGTGAGAATAATGTAGGCGAATAATATACGAGAATTCAGCTCATTGAATATTGTCAAAGAGTAAGGGAATTAATTTCATTACTACGTTTTCGTTTTCATAATCTTTATGGTTTTCGTTCGCTTCTTCTTCTTCTTCTTCTGTTTCTGCTTCCGTTTCTGCTTCTACTCACTGCAATACCGATCTTTAAAACTTCAGATAATAATCAAGGGCGGTATGTAAAGTTCCTAGATGCTTGTCAAGAGTCTGATCCTCGATTAATTGGCAATTGGGTTGCAATTAAAGACGCAATTATGACGTGGCGCGAGAAGAGAATCGAATCTTCATAAAGCTAGTGTAAATAAAATTATGACGAACCGAGGGCGCGCGCATGCGTAATATATCGAGGAGTTCCGAAATGGAATTTGTTATAATGTCGGTAATAGAACGGGACAAAACGAGTGAACCGTGCGTTTGTCGACTGGTAGTTGAAATCGAGCCTGATAAAGCGCATGAAATAAGCAGTTGACTTACCTGCAGACAGAGCTTGGGATTGTAATGGAAGGAGACCTTGGGGTCGATGTTCTTGGAGCCGATTTTGAGCGGCGGCCTCGTCGTCCAGTTCCATAGCTCCTGAAGATTTTGATTGTCGAGCACGACGAGGGTATAGTCCTTCATCTCAAGGTTCTGGCCCTTGATCTCCGTGAGATTGTTGAGAAAGTTGAGCGATATGAGGGGGAAGCTACGAAAGATCTTGAGGTAGCCGGTGATGACTTCGATGCCGCTTAGACTCTCTTCGAGCTCCCGCACGATGTTCTGGCCGTCGCGGATGGCGATCTCGAGGTTACCCTTAATGTGGGTGCAACCGCGCAGCTTCTGAGCCGAGGCGATGCTGTCGACTATCGTACCAGGACACTCCTTGAGGCACGGGCCGTTGCACTCCTTGCACGAGAACATGCCTAGGGATACGGGTACGAGAAGGAGGGAGGAAGAGAGAGAGAGAGAGAGAGAGAGAGAGAGAGAGAGTTATATTTAGTCATGTAATGTTTGAATTGGCCCCGGGAAACGAAAGCCAAATACATAGGAAACTCTTCGCTTACGTGCTCCAAAGATATAATTTGATAAAAAAATTTTTGACATTTGCCGCTATGCTTTCACAGCTTCATCAAGAGTACTCACTCGCGCCATTTTCGTGCAATGGTTTTTATTATTACAGGCTTCGGCATAACATTCACCCGTGAATCCGGCTTGTTATTATGTGCAGCTTCTTGCCCCATTAAACGTCGCGTGTCCTCGCGAACGGTAAATCCTTTTCATCCTTTATTTTACTTTTTTTTTTTTCTTTTTGCTACTTAATCCGAAGATTTCGTGCGGCATTGGATTTGGTGGTCGATAAGCGAACTAATCAGGCAGCAATCAGGATACGGCGTCGCTTTAATTCGTGTCTATTCCCTGCCCGCGTAGTCCTTAATATAATATCGAACGCTTTATTTCTTCTTTTTTTTATCTCAATCGTTGATTTTATTTTACCGCTACCGCCTGTATACTAATAGCATGGCCAACTGAACGAATCGAGAATAATGATCCGGTGTCGCGTAATTAAAAAGGAGAAAAAGAAAAACCATCGCCCCACTCGCGGCGAAAGAATACGTAGAAACAGCGATGTGATGATGGTAGAGGACGACGAGCACGAGGACTCGTAACTACGAGTAGGAGATGGTATAATCGAGCCGGTAATCGCTCTCCTTCCTACGTTTCATCTAATAAAATCGTTCAAACCGAGGGAAGTTCGGGGGCGGGGCCGGTAGGTAAAGGTAAGCCAGCCAGCCATCCAGTGGGGCCACGGATCGTTAAGGAGGCGAAGCGCAAGTAATAGAATTACGAGAATCCTTGGAGTGTGCCCCGCGGCGAAGAGAGAAGAAATAGGGCCGCCTCATAACCGAGGGGTCGACTCACCGTTGCTGCTGACCTCCTCGTAGCCGGCTGGGCAGTCGATGATGCACCTGTTGCCAAAGGGCTTGTAAGGGTAGGTGTTGACGCTTATGGGCAGCTCGCGGGGTTTGCGCATCATGCGGCACTCCTGCTGGCTAATGCAGCGCCGGTTCAGGAACTCGTACGTGTCAACGGGGCAGCTGCTTACGCACTGGCTGTTATTGACGATGACCTCGCGGCAGACCTTGCAGTCGAAGGCCGTCGGTCCGGTGCAGCCACCGAGGCAGGAAGGGTGGCAGCAGTCGCCACTCGGGGTGCAGGCTCGCTCGCCGCACTTGTTACTGCACACTGTGGATGCAGAAGGTCGTGGATGAGTTCGATTATGGGCGATGTGAGATTAGCGGGGACTGGGAAGGGGGATGACGGACGGAGCGGCGAGAACGTTACATTTTTGTAAGAATAGCGTAACAATGGTCGTGACACGGTCACGTTTGCTCTTGGAGCGGAGTTTATGAGGGGAGTGTGCGAGGGTGCAAGGGGAATACGGTGATCACGTGGTAACATGACAGGGCCGACCCCACGTGG